TTTGACAGGAAGGCAGTAATCCACTTGTGAAGGGATCCAGAAATGCCGTAAGAATTTAATTTTAATAGTAATTTATTCCTGGGGGGAAGCATTAAAATTTAAGCAGAATGTTATGTGGCTAAATATTGTTTGTACCCCTATCTCTGGTATGATTTGAATAGGTTCCAGAAAAGTCCCCAGCCATAAAGATGCATTGGGTTATAATTTATGAATCTATCTAGAAGAATAATAGAACATTAAATTAAAGTTGGCCTTGCCATGCTAAAGCTGCCGTTACATGTAAATGTAATTGTGTATCCCACCAAATTCAGTGGAATTCACAGTGTAAATATTATTGAATACATTAATAATCCACATCATTTATCTTTGGTTTATCCTTCATCACACTATTATTGAGCAGGGACATTCTCAAATTCCATTATCTGCTTTAAACTAGTGAGAAAATTATCTGCTAATCTATTTACATTAATCTTATTTTATGCTCTTTTCTGTCTGTTTAATATTATAAATTAATACAAATTTTGTTATTTAGGGACAAAAGCATTTTTCCTGAATCCTTAAATGAGAATGGTTTTCAGTTGCACTTTGGGGTAAATTTATTTTTTTATGGGTTTTTTGAACAAAATACAACTATTTTTTGTAACTATCTGAAAAGAATTGAAAACTACAAGCTATTCTCTAAGATAAATTTCAATACAAAGATAAAATTCACTCAACCAAATAACGTATTATTTTGGTATATGAGATCATAATTTAGTAAGAAATTTTTTGAAATTCTGCTACAGTAATCATACTACGTTGTGGAAATGTAATGAAATGAGAAATTTTTTCTGTATACTTTCTGGGCAAAATATAACTTTATTGACAAGCAATATCTTTGTCTCTTGGAGGAAACAATTAAACAATAATCATGAGCTACACTAAATCGCATTTTAAAGGGTTTGGACATATTCTTACTTGTTGCAGATGGTATCACAAGAACGAAAGGAATGATATTAATCTAGGATATAGATTAGATATTAGAACCATTTTTTGGCAGTAAGAGATATTAATCAATTAATCAATAAATTCCCATATGAAGGGGTGTGTTCCCATTCACTGGAGAATTTCAGAGTCTCCATTGTTATATATTAGGAATGGTACAGTGATTCCTGGACTATACCAGGAGTTGGATTTGATGATCTTTTAGGTCCTTTCCAATTCAATGATTCTATGTGAAAACAATCATATTTTTATAGATTATGTTTTTTGGATGTTAGACATGCATGTGCCTGTTATAAAAGTCAATGATCAGTATCAATCTGTATATATAAAAGTAAAATACCATTCATGCATCATCACAAAATCTTCAACAACCGTAAAGTCTATGAACTTGAAATTTGGCATGTATGTTCCTCTTGGCTTCTAGGTGTTCACTAAGAAAGGATTTTTCAAAATGACCATACCAATGAGCATTAGTATTTTGTATGTTATTATTAACACACTTTGATGCTAAGGAGTTCTACTGCCCCTCCCCACCTGAAAAGAAATATGTTCCAAATGCAAAACACAAGCAGAGGAGATGAGTTTCTGTTTCAGTTTTAGTTTCATAGCAGCAACCAGCTTTAGTACAGAACAGTTGAACTAAGCCATGCCCAGGCTCCTTGCTGTCTCCTTCTTGCTCACACAGCAAATACTGCTTCAGTTTCCAAACAGCCCTCAATTCTCTCACACACTGACAGGACTTTAGCCAGATGAATACTGATGGATGCTGGTTGGCAGAGGCACAATTTCCCCCCCCCTCATTATTTTCCTCCCCCAAAAACTAAGCCCAATCACATAGTTTCATAGTGAAGCATGGGTATAGAGTTAGTATTTAAATAACCCCATATTTTTAAAGAAAATCAAAAGAGCTTTGTATGAAAGTGTGTATTTCTGTTCTATTATTAATACTGTTGAAAAGTAACTATATGGTGAAATCAAAGATCATAGAATTGTTTGGTTTTTAGATGGTATTCAGTTTTTTTTCCTTAAGATTAAAAATCTGTGAAGTCCATTTTGTAAAGTGATCTAAATAAAATAAAGCTATATCACCATTATAAATGACTACAGATTGTTTAATAATATTTTGATGTATTGAAGCAAGCACAGAAATAAATATGTTCAAACTTGAAGTTTATGTTTTTTTTCCTGTATGATAATATCAGATGTCTTTTCTGTCTGGGATTTTACTATAGACTTTCCATACAAATGCTTAATTTATTTGATACATTCCCACCCTGTCCCCATCAGGCAGCAAATGTCTGTTTTCTTTGTGCAAAACCAAGAAAGGTGCATTACTATCGTGAGTATTTGATGCTCAGATACTCACTTGTTTTATCTCTTACAAATATTATAAAAGAAGTATTAGAGCAGTAGATAATTTTTCAACCTGATGTTCTTTGGGTGTGTTAGACTTCAACTTTTATGAACTCTAAGTCTTTGGGCCACTAGGTTTGGAAATAACAAATTGGAGAATATGTTGCATTTGGGTAAGATTGCAGGCCTGTATATTCCCAACTTATCTATGAATCTTGAATAACTCTTTGTCTCCACTTATTTGGCCACTGGGGAGCATTCTGCAGTTCATGGACTGTTCCCAGAAACATGTTGGCGGCCATCTGTTAATATTGTATGTTGAATAGATGAAGTTAGTTCAGAGTTATCATTAAGAAACAAGAAGGCAGTGATAAGTACAATTTTCCTTTCACATGAAGAAATTAGTCATATCAGTTATAGAGATTAAGGCGTAATGAATGTAACTCTAAGAGTTCTTAGAAGAAAGGGGTCAAAAGATTACAGTAAGTGTACACTGAACAGATTTTACTTTCTTTTGTATTATAATTGCCTCTGATCCTTAAGTAGTTGAAAAAATCTATAATTTGATTCCTTATAGCTAAGAATCTATTGATAATATCCTTATTTAGTAAAACAAAGGGAATTTGATATAAGAAGCATTATTATTAGGACTACAATTTCTGAACCTTACAAGTACCACTAGATGGTAGCAAATAGATACAGAAAACTTTACAATTTTAAATCTCTGTGGTCTGGGGAGCTTTTCAGTGCAGACTTAAGAATTATGTTGCCTCTTGAAAGAATATACAGTTATGTGAGCTAGCCATAAAAATAATAAAGAAAATATGTTAATAAAATATACAAATGAAAAACTCTGAAAAGGGAAGGGGCATGAAGCTGCTAGTAAACCCAAGATTTGAAGAAGTCTGCAAAAAGGCCTATGTATCTAATGTGTTTAGTAAATAAATATAGTATACTAAATATATGGTTTGCAGTGTCTTTGAATATTAGTAGCTCGGGTTGGTAGTTATGTTATTGGTTCAAGCTCCGAACATAGGAATTTGGTTGCAAACATTTTGTCCCCATTTGACAAGACTTCTTCAGTGCACTTTGGATTGTGCTTGTCTGGGGGAGCACTAGCCTTTAAATACCTTTCTGAGTCCTGGTCTGATTTCGGATTGATTTGATCGGCCAACCACATCACATGCAGCCGACCAAATCAACCTGAAACCAGACCATGACATCATCAGAAGACATCCGAACAACACCAGCACTAATTTACATCACAGAGACAGTACTTAAAATCAAGGACTATGATTCAGCAACTACAACCATCCAAACATACAACCTGAAATCAGACCAGGACTCAGAAAGGTATTTAAAGGCTACTGCTCCCCTAGATAAGCACAATCCAAAGTGCACTGAAGATGTCTCCTCAAATGGGGACGAAACATTTGCAACCAAATCTCCACACTCGGAGCTCAAACCAACAACATATATATGGTTTACTTCATCCTTTGTACTACACACACACACACACACACACACACACACACACACACACTATATGTATACATATATAGGATGCAAATACATTTATGAAACCATTTACATCAATGGTGGGATTCAAAAATATTTTACTACCAGTTCTGTGGGCATGGTTTGGTGGGAGTGCCAGGGAAAGGTTACTGCAAAATCCCATTCCCTCCCCACCCTACTAACCTGCTTTCCAGCTCCGTTCTCCTGTGCAGAGCCACAAAAGAAGACCCAGCCGATCAGCTGGAACTTGGGAAGCAGAGAATAGATGGCGGTGGGGCCAGTCAGAGGTGGTATTTGCTGGTCAGAACCTGCTGCATACCACCTCTAATTTACATATGATTCATTATTTGAATACTTGATACAAACAGAGAAATAGATAATGGTAAACCCAGGCATTCACATTAAAATACATGTACACATTGGTAGCCGATTAAATATATAATAGATAAGTACAGACAGAGCATTCATTCCTTATCAAGATCTAGCTAACAGAAATGCAAACTAAATAATAGCTTACTTGGCCTGATGTTGGCTTCCTGACCACCAGCTTCTTTGGTACATATCCAGGTTTTATGCTAAAATTTGTTGCATTGTTCAAGAACTGGGAAAATATCATAATGATATTAGAAGACACAAAAGGGGAGAATACAAACTCTCTCTTTTACTTTTAATTTGTTAATGGCTCTTGGCACATCTCTTATAAAAAAGGCATGGGAAACATTAACATTTTCTTCCAGGCCTTTTGCATAAGCATCTTTTCTGCTGTGTAGAGTCATTCATGTTGCAAACTTTACAGGTAAGAAAGCAGAAGAACATGTACTGGTGACTCAAATCCTAAATGATGGATTACTCAGAGAAACAGAATAATACATTTTCAATGATGAGTGTTTTAACAGAGGTTCTGAATTGTTAAAAAAAATGGTAAGGTGGCTAACAAGGAAAGAAAATGTTGCATTATTGCATAATAAACAGTAAATTGAAAATGGTTTCTGAAAGTATTCAGGAATAGAATGTTTCAGGAGCATTTTTAAAAAAATAATTTCAGATCATCTATCAAGAAGTCTCTCTAGATGCTTTTTGTTATAATCTAGCTTTCTTGAAACCATATTTAAGTATCTTTATCTAATCCAATTCTATATTTTCAGAGCTCTCAGCACAGTGGTTCCTCTACCTCACTAGCCTCTACCAAAGTCTGTAGTTCGATGGACGAAACCGATGGGCCTGGTGAAGGTAATATAAGTAGATACAATGCCTCTCTGTTTGAAAAATGATAATACAAAGGTCTCTATGATTTATTGCGTCTAAAAATTAAAGAAAGATTGTTGATATTAGGGCAGAATTGATGTTTTGTATTAAACTGTCTTTGGCATCTATGTATTACTGAATAATCAGGTACTTCCATAGCCATTTTCCATTTTTTCCAAAAGTCAAAATATTCCTACTGTATATCGTATACTAAGAATGGGAGTACATATCCTTGACAAAAAAAAAATGTTTGGTTAGCTTTCTAGTTCAGATTGTTTATATAGGTTTTAATTGATATGCCTAAACCTTTTGTATACAAGCTACAAATATGAGGGATTATATAATAATTTCATCTGAACTGAACTATTGTGAATGTTAGTCTTCACCCTAGTTTGGATCTTTCATTGACTGCAGACATCAACAATCCTCATTCATAGGTGAGGCATGATTCATGTTCATCCACAAATCAGTTGATACTGTAGCCCAGAAAGGGAGAGAAATTTCCTAGGGAGAGAAAAATTGATTCCCTTGAAAAGGTAGAAGCAGAACTAGAAATGGGAACTGGGGGAGAAGCTATGGGTTGAAACTGGGAAAAGAAGGGTCTGTTATTTTGCAGTGTTTCAGATTAAGGCTGGATTTCTAGCAAAAAGGGATTTCCAACTAAATGAAAGGAGGCTTCAGTTTTTTTAAAAAATGCTATTTCTTTAGAAATAAATAAATATATTCTGTCGAGGTCTTGCATTTAACCTTTCCTCCTTTTTTGTGCTGCTAAATCATTTTTATTTGCTAGTGAATTCTATATAATTTCAGGCTTCTTCCAGTGTTTAAGGTGAGCATGTGTATGTTATTTATAATTTTCTTATGATGTATAAGTTGAACTCCATCAAACATCTATTTTGAGATTCTGCCAGAGAAATTCTTATTTGTAGCAGACCGTTAACATCATACAGGTCTTTACCAAAATCTAAGTATTTCTAGCTTTCTTTTTTGCTGAGATTATCAATCTTCCTGACATTAATCTTGAAACCCTGCCAAGTAATTTTCCTGCACAACTTTTGTCTAGTATAATTAAGGGTAAATTACTCTTTAATCTGTTTCATGTGCTTTTCCCTTTCTCTGGATATAGGAATCTCTCCTGTAACATCCCTTGTACCTCCCTTAACTACATTCACAAAGTTTGTTAGGCATCTTATCTCAAGCTACAGATAAATAATCACTTGAAATTCATTATGTTGAGATGATAAAATACAAAGACCTTCTGGATGCTCAAGGAACTTTAAAATCTTGGCAGGATCTCCAAGAACAAGGGCTATGAGTAGACCAGTGGGCTTACCTGCAAATTCAAAATAGATACAGTCAGGATAAGATAAATTTCAGAATTTACGCTAAGCTACAACAACTAGATAAAATCTTACTGGGTCCTGATAAATATGACCAAATTCTATAATTATCTATTAGAGATAGAATTAGAAGAGGAAGTCATCAAAGGCAACATGATAGCTTGGACTAGAAATATAGGACGTAGCATCACATTATCAGAATGGGAAAAGGTCTGGATCAGGAATAATAAAATCACAAAATCAGCAACATATAAAGAAAATGCCTATAAAATGTTTTATGGATGGTACCTCCCCCCCTTCGAGAATAGCGTAGATGTCTCCTAACATGAATATGAATTGCTGGAAATGTAAAAAGAAACACAGAACATTCTTTCATATGTGGTGGTCCTGCACTGAAACCCAAAGATACTAGTGTAGGATAAAAAAAATGGTTAGAGGAAATAACGACGGACCAAACTGAATTAAAACCAGAATTCTTCCTATTAGGGATATTGAATAGACAACTTTCTAAAAAAGCTAAATATATAATATTGCACATTCTTACTACAGCCAGATTAGCCTTTGCACAGTGTTGGAAACAAGCTGACATTCCAACAGAGGAAATGATCATTCAGAAAATAACAGCCTGTGCAGAGATGGACAAATTAACCCTAGCACTTAAGGATCAGAATATTATAAAAACTGGCAATGTTGGTATGATTGGATAGAACAAAAATAGAAAATATATTAGTAAATATTGTTAAATTGTAATAGAGGTAGTAAGTACACATTCACAATAAGACTTATTTGTAAATATGACACCAATAATGATAACAAATAAGGAACCACAAACTGTTGATAATGGAATTGTTCATTTTTATTCTTTTTCTTTTCCTTTTCCTTTTTTTTCTTTATGTTGTGTATGTGTTTGTTTATTATTTTAGCTGTATAATCAATAAAGTTTGCAAAAAAAAAAAAGAAATTCATCATATTGATTGTCAAAAAATTTGGTGGGTTATTTCACTAATTTTTTCAGAATAAGAAGAAATTATTAACCAATTTCTTAAAGACAGGGCTCTTTCTCAGTTATCCAATGGGAAGATTTGCCTTATTCTATCTTCTTTTGAAAGTGAATTGAGATATGAGAACTTATAAATTGGCTGGTTGGTTTTATGCCATTAAGCTAGTGTCATCTCAATGACCACACAGATAGACCTTCTTCAAAATCATTGGGTCTCCAAACTGGCCTTTCAGATCTTCCAACTATACATCAATAGCCTTTGTAATCAAAGATATTCAGCTTGCTGCTGGAAGCTGTAAACTGTTGGAAGAATAATAAACTGTACTATGAAACCGATTGTAAAATTTTGTAAGATGATCAAAATCTACTGAAATAGGTTGCTATAACAAATTTAAATCAGCAAACAAACTCAGGACATATATGCAAATACCTTGGCCATCTTGCAATTTTTAAAAAGTGCAGGAAATCACATTTACCTTGTGGATGAGTTTAATGTCAGGTATTATCAGTCTGCTGATGATATTCAGTGAATATTTCAATCCCAGGCTAACAAGCCTACTCTGTCGGGATCTTGTCCCTGTGTCTGAAATCTGTAGGAGTCAGGAGGTTGTGGAAAAAGCTCAAGCCCAGCCCTGACAAAACCAAGTGGCTATGGTTTTTTGGACTATCCAGATCTTGATATGCTCCATCCTTAGTCCTAAATGGGGTTGCACTTGGCTTCACGGTTTCTACTGAATAAACAAGTGACAACTTGCTGGGAAAGATTTTGAACAGATTCATCTAATTAATCAGTTGCACGCATATGTGCAGCCCTAAGAAACTTTGATCACCTTGTGTTTGGATCATTGCTATGGACTGCATATGAAACTACACTTGAAGATCACTCAGAAAGTGCAGATATTCCAGAAAACAGCAACATACTGTAGGCAACTTTAGGTATGCCTTGTTATGCCCATGCAACAGTTTACTGTGGAAGCTGCATTTCAGTGTGCTGATTATCTTTTATAAAGCTCTTCATGGCACAGAACTTGATTATTTGAGGAACCACCTATGTTTCACAGTTGCTGTCCATCTTATATGATTCAGCAGCATGTTCTGGATCCCACTGATAAGTAATATATTTAATGGGACCAAGAAACAGGTCTTCTCTGATGTAGCATCTGGCCTCTGGACTGATATTCTTCCAAATGTGTGCACAGTCCCAGTCTATCCTTATTTAAATGTGCCGTCAGGATTTGGTACCTTTCCCAACCTTCGGTTGTAATGGGTGTCAGACTCCTTTTGGATTGACTGATTTGTGAGATGGTAGTTGTTTCTTTCTAAATATTTTTTTTACTGCACGGCTTTATTTTAAATTTTGCATATTGAATACTGCACAGAATCACAGTAAAGTTAATAAATAAAATAGCTCGATGGTTACTGAAAACAAATAGCACAATTTCTAGGCTTTTTGAGGTAGAAAAAAGTGTGTAAGTGTAGCCTTTTATAGGCATGCTAAACAGCTAAAAATAGAAAACCCCAAATGCAGTCTTGTCTTGTTAACAACTGTGCTGTGGCCTCATCTGTTTTGCAGCCCTTAGATTTTCCCCAGAGGCTGAGTTGTGGCCCTTATAGCTCAATTTATTGAAGAAAATTTTCTTTAATCAAATTGAACTGCTTAACAAAACCAAAATAAGAATTTATCTGGCCAGGACAGTTCAATTATCCCACTGATTGTAGAACAGAATTTTAAAGGATTAAAAGAAAATAAAGAGTTATTATTATTCAAAAAAGTTAAACATGCTTCATTTAAGAGAAGGTATATGGCTTGAGCTTTTAAAACATATTTGAAGAATAATAATTTTTTAATGGTTGCTAAAATACCATAAATATAACCTCTTTTTCCTCTCTCTTGATTTAACTGTGAAGGTTTTTTAAGCATCTGGTGTCCAGGTTGAATTTGTCAGTGACATTATTGAGAACACTTGTTAAAAGACCAAATATTTTATACAAAAGGAAAAAAATAGAAGTTATCACATGAGCAAGTTTGTGTTGCTCTCAGCTTACAGGATGTAATAAAATAAGTGTTTGAGTGTTAGACGTCTTATGTAGATACTTAATTATGGTGTATTGAACTAATCCCACTTTGAGATGAAGTAGTATGTCTGTGAATTGATCACTAATGTGTACGAAATACAAGCAATGGGTCCAGCATCCATAAACTTGATATTTAGTATTGTAAAACTTTCCAACAGTATCCGCAACACGGTTCTTCTCTTTTGCAAAATAGTTTCTGGATGGTTTCAATTGTCTTAAGAGGTATAGGTAAAACATGTGTTATATGTCACATATGTGTTGCTTTTCCCACAAATAAAGCTTACTAACAATTATTTTCAGAAGTGTTGGATGAAGGCTTCCAGGTTCCAGCTTCAATAGCAGAGAGGTATAAAGTTGGTCGGACTATAGGAGATGGAAATTTTGCCGTTGTAAAAGAGTGTATAGAAAGGTGAGCAATCTCTTTCCCTTATTACTGTTAAAGCATTTTCTAACATTAGACTATTGCTAGATCATATCTCTATTTACAAACAATATGTAACAAAATAATGCCTCGACTACATATGAACAACAAAGATTCCAGTTAGGCCTATAAAGAAAATATTTTTTAGAATCAATCTATAAATGAAATGCTTTTATTTTCTATTGTCCCTTTTTCTATATTTGGGTCTTACAGGATATATATGCTTTTCAGGAGTGGGATGCTACTGGTTCGGCCCGGTTCTATAGGACCTGTAGCTCTGAAGAGCAGCAAACACGGAACTGGTTCCATGTCTGCTGCTCTGTTTGGCCCAGCGCCCATCCGGGCTCTTGGCTGTCCTTTATTTTCTGCTTTTTCAACCTCAGTTGCTTTGCACGGCATAGCTGAGGTTGAAAAAGCAGAAAAGAAGAGGAGTTTGAAACACTGTGCACCCACGTACAGTGCTTGTCAGCTGTCCAGGCGGCACAGCTGAGGTTTTTTGGGAAATGGTCTACACACACATGCAAAATGCACTCTGACCAGAAGTGGGATTCTACCAGCCAAAGAACTGGCAAATCGCACCACTGGTTGGCTCCGCCCCGCCCCACTCACTCACTCCTTACCTGGCATGCTCACCATCAAACTTGCTTACTAAGTTGCTATTTTTCCTTTTTTCCCCTGACCATCAGCTGTTCTTCTGTGCCGAAGATTTAGATTAGCTAGAAAGCAAAAATCGTTGCATTTTTTGCTTTCTAGCTAATCTAAAAATAGAGCTGAACCTTCCTTAGGAGCGAAGCTTCTATTTTTCAGTGCAGACTCAGGTAGCCGATTGCAGATAGATAGATCCCTGAGTGAATCTGTGATTCTGTGAGCAACTGAATCTGCCTGCCTGCTTTGCCTGGTTTTGGGTAAAAATTGTTCTTTTTTAATAAAAAAAATCAATATTTACTTAAATATTTATAATATTTACATACAAGCCATGCCCAGCCAGTCACATGATCACCAAGCCACGCCCAGCCAGCAAGCCACGCCCAGCCAGTCACATGACCACCAAGCTACACCCACAAATTAGGCCACAGAACCAATTGTTAAGAAATTTCAATCCTACCCCTGATGATTTTAGAAAATAATGCTGTTTAAAAAGCTTCATATATAAGCAGGCACAGTAAAAAAAATAAAAAATAAAAAGAAAGTCCTTCCTTAACATAACTTTTTCAGTTTTGATTTCCAAATCTCTGCTGCAGCTGTTATCTACAGTAGTCTGTGTATGCTGCACTGGTTACAATATATAAAATATGACATGCTGAGGGTCAACTCAACATAAAATAGCTGTTTGGTAAAGAAGACATTTTGGGGAGAAATCCCACTTTCTCGCTTTAGGAGAATTTTGATCATGTCAGAGGAATTTCCTGTGCAGCAGCGTAGGCCCTTCTGTAGACAGGAATTTATGTGTAGAAACTAGCTGCTATATGCAAAAGAATCTTGGCCTGATGGGATAAGCTGTGTTTATTACAAGCAACCAAGGCAATCACAGGCAAATGAAACATGTGTTCTTTTCCAGAATTATCTAAACAATATAGATTGGTGGATAATTAAATAAAGAAGTTATTCCATTCCAGTACTGGGATTGGAGTAACATTGATTTATTGCATTTCATTCTTCCTGTCCTTGAAGAAGTTCAAGGCAGCTTTCATATTCTTCCCTTATACTGACACCTGTCAATCTGTGGAGAAGGATCTGTCTAGGCTGAGTCAGGGATGAAATTGTGTCCCCAGAAGCCTAAGCTTTATGTCGCAGTTTAACAAATGATTTAACAAAGCAAAAAAAGAAAAGAAAGTGCTGTATATGTCCATGATGGCGAACCAATGGCACCCGTGCCACAGGTGGCACACAGAACCATTTGTGCCGACACACAAGCTACAGGCAAACTTACCTCACTGCGCATGTGCATGCCTCACAGCTGATTTTGGGCCAGCTTGAGGCCTTTTTTGGGCCTCCCAAAGGCTTGAGGAAGGCTTCTTCAGGCTTCTACAAGCTTTGTAGGCCGAAAACTAGCCCCGTTTAGTCACTTCTGGTATTTTGGGAAAAACAGGAAGTGATGAAACGGGACTAGATTTCAGCCTACAAGGCTTGTAGAAGCCTGAAGAAGCCTTCCTCAAGCCTTTGGGAGGCTGAAAAAGGCCTCAAACCGGCCAAAAATCAGCTGTGAGGCGCAGTGCAGGTAAGCGGGGGCAGGGGACGGGGTGGGATTGAGCACACATGTGTAGGGGGCGTGGGGCGCGCGCATTGCCTTCTGGGTACTGGCACATGAGCACAAACATGCAAGCACATGCACAAATTTTGGCACAGGAGACCAAAAAAGTTAGCCACCACTGGTATACGTCATTCCTGGACACTCAATAGAATTGTATAAGCTCAGGCTATCCTACCAAAGTTTTGCCATATATTTGAGCACATCTGAAGTGTAATATTTTAAGGTGAGGAAAAGTAAAAAAAAAAAAAAAAGGAGGTAGAGTGGAGCAATTCAAATACCACACTGAATTTAATATTGCTTAATGAAGCAAATAATAAAATAGCATCTGCATATATTTTGGTATCACTAGAACTGGTAATATTATAAAATTTGAATTTTTTTTAAAAAATAAAAGTTGAACATGCAAGCCAAGGATTAAAAAATATGGGGGGGGGGGGGGAGGGGGGGGGGGGAGGAAGAAGGGGGAGGAGAATTCCAAATGGTAGTCTATATAAAGATAGCTTTTGGATGATGAAGTATCTTATTTCTGAGAAACTATATTATGCCAAGAAGCCCTCTAGTGGGAAAATGACGCCTTGCTCAGGGAGTTATGCTGCTTTTTTTTTTTTTAACAATGCTGCAATAAGATAAAATGTGGGTGGACTTCTTATTTTTCCTAAGCCTTTGCTTTAAATAGTGAATTTAAACTTCACTTTAATCTTTAATGTTTTCATTTCTATTAGAAGTTATATTATTTAAATCAATATCCTATATCTCTTCATGTTTCACAGCAGCTTGCTACAGTAATGAAATAGAAACTTTCTAAAACGTTCCTTACTGGCTGCTGGAAATTTTCTAGTCATTTTAAATAAGGTATACATTTAGGCAACTCTGCAAAATAATCTCAGGTTATGTGTTAAATTGTAAAAAAATTTCACTATTGGGTAAATCAATTTAATTTGTTTCTTCCTTCTTCTGAATGTTGTTAGGTCAACTGGTAGAGAATATGCCCTGAAAATCATTAAAAAAAGTAAATGCAGAGGAAAGGTAAGTATTGAGATCCACAATGGAGCATCAGATGTATCTTATGTTCAGTTTTTGAATTAGATCAGGCACTCCAAGTTAGTGGTTAATTTAAAAAAAATGTTGTCCAACATTTGCTGAACAACAGATGGAACAAGGATCTGGCAGGGCACCGTGACATAGTCAGAAGGTTCTTTACAGAAAAAAATAGCTTACATTGACTCAGAATTACATACCAATTGGAATCTAATGTGATGATGTGAATAAATTCTTGTGATGTTATCTTTGAGTTATTTGGCCATATGGAAACTGATGGAATGGATAGGAGTCCCTGTAATATGAGCTTGGCTCCATGTAGACTTCTTTGAACACTTCATCAGTCTATGAAATTAGTTTATTATAATATGGTCTGCATAGGGCTGCCTTTGAAAATAACCCAGAATCTATAAGTATAACATTCAGCAGTCAAGATGATTTTTTTTAAAAGGCTACCATATTGTAAAACAAGTAATGAGAAGCGATGCAGATCTTGGGGCAGGTGCATGGAATGTGGGAAGCTGCCACAGAAAAGGCACTTTTACATATTGCCATTAAGTAAACATCTGGAGGGGCCTCAAGGTAGATCTTGATTCTCAAGCAGAATTATATGCAGAAAAATGCTTCTTTGACTAGTCTGGTCCCAGACCATTTAGCGTTTTTACTTGGGGTTAAAAGCAACTTTTTAAATTGTTCTACAAAACTATGCAACTTGACGAACTTGACGTGAAAACAACAAGATGTTCAGTTTAGTAAGGATGAGAGGTCAAGGCATAATATATTGACTTGGAGAAGTCTTGGAAAGAAAAATATTAAGAGCTAAAATGTCTAAAGAAAATGCAGCTGTTATTTTCTTTTTGCTTGGGAAAATATGATTTGTTATGCAGTATATAATTTTTGAGTTAAAAGATTGGAAGTGTAGTTCTTTACAAGCATACTAAAAGAAAATATTCAATATCAGATATGTTAAATATAGGCAAGCTTAAATCTAAATAAAGTACTTGCCAGTTTAATCTTCTACCTCTGTTTTACTTTTGATATTCATTTTCTCAGCCTTAGCATAGTCATTGACTTATGCATTAATTTATAAAGGTTTTAAAACTTTTTGATGAATACTGAGTTTCATCTTTCCATTATGATGCTCCATTAAAGGAGATTAGTTTAGTGTAGTTATTAAGGTAATGGATTAGAAAGTACCAGCCCATGGGTTCTAGTCCTACCCTAGGCAGAGAGACTAGTGAAAGGATTTTGGGTCAATCATTATCTCTTTCAGCCTTAGAAACAAGGTCCTGGCAAGCCACCACTGCCAAGAAAACCAGAAGTTGAATATATTGATTTTATCTAGGATATAGTCATGACCTCTGTGGTTGACTTGATAAATTATAACTTACCTCATTAAATAAGACAAAAGTCCTGTAGCAACTATATGGTTTTTTTCATCCTCTTTTCATGATTTTTTTCTCTCCTTTTATGCAGGAACACATGATTCAGAATGAAGTTTCTATTTTAAGACGGGTCAAACATCCCAACATTGTTCTCCTGATTGAGGAAATGGATATGCCCACTGAGTTGTATCTTGTCATGGAGCTTGTAAAAGTAAGTACAGATGAACATTTATCAGCTTCTGCTTAGTTTATTAGCCTTTTTTCAGAATTCTAATCTTAGCTTCAGTATAGAGATATAGTATGTGTATGAACATGGAACAAAGAAGATCCACTGTTCCTCAATAGAAAGTTTATTAAAGATGGGGAAATGGATGAAGTAATTTGTAAATATCTAAATGTACGAGTACTTCGTAGATTATTGTAAAGTAAAATGTAAACTAAAATGTATGTGTAAGAGCATTTTTCTGCTCATGTTGTTATATGAAAATGAAAATTGGGTGTTATTGGAGAAAGTACAAAAATACTTCAATGGGAAAGTGAATCTTTGAATGGTGTATGTGATAAAATAAGAAAAGATGTGACCAAGAGTAAATGGGTGATCAATTGTATTGATTTCAAAATGAGTGAACAGCAATAACATCACAGTTTTTTAAGTACATTGGTTGCCGGTGTGTTACTAGGTGCAATTCAAGGTCATGGTTATCATCTTTAAAGGTCTTCATTACTTGGGGCCAGGTTATCCAATGGGTTATCCTTGTCTAGTTGTCCACCTGTACAATTTGGTCAGGCAGGTTGGCCATACTATGGGTTCCATCAGCCAAGGAATTTTGATGGGAATCAGGAATTGTCTTCTCCACCATAGCCTCTGCCCTCTGGAATATTCTCCCTTCTTATATCAGGATGATCCAAACTCTGTTGGACCTTCATAAAACCATGAAGACTTAGTTACGTGCCTGGACCTGGAGCCCCTGGAGCCCCCTGTTTCCTGACTACATTAATATCCATAGTAACAGCTTTATTTGGTACCATATATTTTGTACTGTTTTATTTGTTTAATGTCTTATAATGTACACCAACCAGAGTCACTCGATTAGATGGCTGTAGAAATAAAAAAATAAAGCAATTTTTGAGGATACCAAAATAGGCTTGAAAACAGACTCTGCTTGTGAAAAGATTGCCATGTACACTAGAAAATTTTATTTTCCTTACGATTGCACAGGGGTGAACTTTCAAAGAGGGAATTGGGATTCTACCTGGCCTTTCTTTGAACTCATCCATATCCTGATGAGGAGAGTCACACTCCAGCTGTGGTGGCAAATCTGCTAGTAATATAAAGGTTCTGTGGCAGGAGTGTCCAACTTGATTTCATTGAGAGCTGCATCAGGGTTGTGTTTGACCTTGGGGGGGACTCAGTGTCACTCATGTTGGGGGCATTTGTGGTGGCCAAGTGCTAAGGCAGACTTCCTACAGACCCTCCCTCACTCTTCTTATAATCTCCTTCCTTCTTGCCTGTCTTCCTTTTTTTTCCTTCCCTCTTCCTTCTCCTTTTTTTTCTTTCCCCTCATTTCTTATTTTTCCTTCCTTGCTCTCTTCCCATCCTTCCTTCTTTTTCTTTGTCTTTCCTTTTTCTCTTTTTCCTTCTTGCATGCTCAAATGCAAAAGGATAAACATTTATCCTTTTGTTTTGTTTTTAGCTTGTTTTGTTAGCCCTCTAACCGGGAAAACGAAAGAGGAGGAGAGCTGCAGGAGGCCATCATGGCCAAAAAACGGGCCTGGAGGCCACACACATTGTCCCCAAGCTCCATTTTTTTTAACACAAGCACCATGGGCCAATCCTTTGCTGTTTCCAGGGCAGACCTGCAAGCCAGGTCTAAGCACCCAGTGGGCCTTGAGTTTGACACCTTGTTCTGTGAAAATGGAGTTAGTCTTCTTCTTGATTGTCACATATTTCCTTAAACCTGAGTGTATTCCCTAGCACGAAGAGTAAGAATTGATCTACCCAGCACTAGTAACCAAGTTGACTTTCTCATCTATATTCTTGATAAACCTTTGCAGGAGTCTCATATTATGTATGTAGCTAATGATTCAATTACTATCAGTTAGGAACATAGATGCCCTTTTCCCAAAACCACCAAAGAATACTTGGGAAGTTCCACCTGGAAGGTAACTGATTATGATGCCATCCGGATTGATGTGTCAAAAGAAAAACCAAACAAAATGTACAGCTGAAAAAGATTTAGTGTTATGTGCTAGTAAAAGTTTTGATAGGTATTTAAAGCAGTTCCCTTTAATCATTTAGTGGATAGTTCTGTAGGGAAGACTTCAGATGGCGGAGTTGCTGGAAGGCAGCAGCTGATTGGAGCCTTGTCATTGCACTGGATTGTTGTTTTGTGCACACAGTAATAAAAAAGGACAGAAATGGAGGGAGATTGCTAGGAGACAAAAAAAAATCTGTCTGCTTGAAGCTGGATTAGATCATTCTTGTGGTCCTTTTCAACTCTAAAGCCAATGAAGTGAAAACTTCTATGTAACCTAAGGCATATACATTTCCCTATAATATTTCACAGAACAAATTGGATTCTTAAAAAAAAAGATGTGCATGTTTGGTATGCTTTATTGGAATTCAGATTTTCCTTTCCTTTCCCGATGAATAAGTCCCTGGTTTTCCTCTCCACAGGAATGGAAAAATATGGGGAGGTATAGTGAATGCCATTGGTGTAAACTAGATTTAGCTATATTTTATTTTCTTAACTTACGCATTTAACTTCTATGCCTTAACTATTTTGTATTCCCTTTCTGTGCTTTGCTTACTTGTGCCTGCCAGCCCCAAAAGGGAATGCCACAATGGGGCAGTCTGTTTAAAATGGAATAAAGCTTGCTATATGTTTCTTTTTCAAAGAGTAAAAGCAAGTATTCTTGGAAGCTTGTTGAATAATCCACTCACTATTCCCATTTACAGCTGAGTAACCATCTGCTAAGGGCTGCTTTTTGAAGGCTTAACATGTAAATTAAATTCTCTAATGGCAAAGATTTTCAAGAGAAGGTTGCTGGCATATCAAACTTTAGTTAATAATATTACGCTTTCATTGGTCACAACAAACTTAACATAAGTGGGTCCTGTTGCTGCACGTACATTCTGTTTTCATCCCAGGCATATCTTTCTGTCCTAAAATGTAAAAAATGCATTTCATAAATATAAATAAAAACAAATTTCAAATAGGAATTATGAAAGGTGAGAGAGGATGTGGTTGCTGGCAAGCTGCCATTGTATGTACTGGGACTAAATTATTATGCAAGACTTGCATTGCCCTAGTTATTTTAACAAGCATGATTTATGATAGGGTTTCTTCCTGCTGTTCAAAGGATCTAACTTCAATTTCCCATGAGAAGGGAAATATTATAGCATTTCTTTTGGAAGGAAGTAAATAAGTAATTGGTTATTGTTCTTCTGGATGTCAGTGCCTTATGGTGAAAGGTGATAAGGCTCTTCTTCCATCTTGTCCCATCCCTTTTTAATTAAAAAAAAACATTTTAAAAGCCGTTTCCAGTTTGTCTTGCACCCAGAAAAGAGCAACATTAGTGAAGAAATCAAGCAGTATCATTGACTATCTAATAGTGAGTAATCTATTAAAAGATTATGACAATATGACTGAAATTGGGAAGTTGAAGAGTTGCTTATGGAAAGTAAAACGTTGAATTATATTTAATTAGTTTACTTGCAAGATTAGCACATTAGGGTAGGGTTCCACAAAGTGATCAATATTGACCTGCTAGGCTTTATGGGATTATTCACAGGGTTCGTATTATCGCTATGGTTTTCATATGTTTAAATTGAATTTGGCTTTTTTTAATCCACCTATTGAGTCCTACTGAAGAACCTGGGATAGATGGATGCTGTTTGATGGTATTAAAAATTATTGTTAGAGGAAGTAAGCTGTTCCAAGTAAAGCCGCCTTTTGCAATTGACTGATGTGATTTTGTTAATGCCAGTCAGTGATCAAGTGGTGCTCCACTTGTTTTGTAGTTGTAAATCACCTAGTATTTTGTAATAGACACCACTTACAATTGGTACAATTAGTAGCAGTTGTACTATTAAGTGGTATTTATTAAAATGTTTTCATTATTATTTGAGAGTCAGCGAACAATCTGAGTTGTTTTGTGATGGGTGGCAAACAAATTTAATAAATAAAAATAAAACAATTTGAAGCTTCATGAGGAGTCAATAAGTTGAAGAGTTGGGGAAACCTGCATTAGGGTTTTAACAGGACATCAGCATTTCCCCGTTTAGTTTAAATATTTCACATTTTCCTCCTTACCTCTCAATTTCCTTTCCTCTTTCTAACTGTTGGCAAAAGTTTTACAATATTTTATTGGAAGGATTGTTTAAAGTAATGTGAACGTGTAATATAAGAATTTTACTGAGTGGCTGCCACCAATGGCAAACTGAAATGTCAGAATCCATGAACAGTTAAAGTGCACTTTTCTGGGATAAAATTCTTTGAGTTAATCTCGTCGTTTATAGATATATAGAATGTCCACTGCAGATTTCATTCTTTTCTTTAAGAATGGGAATTCTAAGATGTCCTGAAAGAAAATACTATCAATCATTATGATCTTTTTCCTGAATCATAGTAGAATATACTAATATGTTACATTCATTTTAATTCAGGGAGGAGATCTTTTTGATGCTATTACCTCCACAAATAAGTATACAGAGAGGGATGCCAGTGGGATGCTGTACAATCTGGCCAGTGCCATCAAATACCTTCATACCTTGAACATTGTTCACAGGGATATCAAACCAGAAAATCTGCTGGTAAGTAACATCAAATGGCGATAGAGATTTTGATGCATATAATTCATAGCAAACATCTATCAATCACTATCTCAAATTTCAGTCAATTTAGGAGCACTTTCAGCTTAAAATAGTTTTCAGAATTAGAACAAAAAATGTCCTTACTAGATTGAGCCAAAGTCCATCTTAGTCCATAATTTTGTTTCACACAAAAATTTCAGATGCTTCTGGTACACTAACAAGTGAGAGATGTAGAGAGGACTTGGAAGATTAATGCCAGCCTTGTAAGGTAATCCAGACAAGAAATATACCCAGGAGTACTAGTTCTATCTTTACTGTGTAAAGATAGTGTGTAAAGATATTTTTGAAGTATGACACTACAACTTTCCCCTATTGCCTTTACAACTAGGGAAGGCCCCTTCCAAGATGTTTGTACGTTTCCATTCCTTCTATGGTCTCAGATGTTTCTTGTTTAACCATTGCCCAGTCTGCAGCTTTTTTGTTTCCCAAATCATTCTCACACCCCAATATATCAGCCTATTGATTAAAATTAAAATAGTACTTATCGGTACTATTTTATATGCCCCAACACAAATGGTTTTTGTTGGTTTAGAACTATTAATTGTAGAGGTGGGTGTTTGATGGCTGCCAAGCAACTGATCACAATGAAATCCAGATTTTAAGAAGAAAAGAAAATTAGTATCTGTTTTCTTCCATTCCATTTCTTTATTATTTCTATGGAGGGAGTTGCTGCCTTTTATAAATAGGATAATGCCTTTTATAAATAGGATATTACAATGAGTCTTTCTTTGGAGAGGGTTTAGGAATCAGAAATAGTTAAAAGTAAAGCAACTGGATTGTTGGCTATTACATATTTTAATGATCCTGTAATTTTGAAATAATTTTCAAGTCTCCTTCAGAATGTTGATTTTAAATGCTGTGTAAAATGTAAGTAGAATGTAAAACATTCTACTTTAATTTCAGTTCTTCAGAACCAAGAGAAGCTATGATGGTTAGTTAGTACACGAGACAGTGTCCTTTTTATAGAAAGTCAGGTTGGAGTGGCTTAATGTGCCTCTGACTGAGATCCTAAAATATCTCCCATTATCTTTCACTCTTAAACTCTGAAAAATTTTGATCTGAATGGAGACGGCGGTTAATTCATTTTTGTATATGTGAGGGAATGAAGCTGAGATATCTGCATTTGGGAAAAGCAGCTGCAACCAGGCAGAAATGCTCCTACTCCCGCTTCCCCAAGGATAGGTTCAATTTATCCTTTCTCCCAAAGGGTAGTAAAGTTTATTGTCTGAGAAACTTGAAAGGAGATGGATTCATTAATTCTTTCTCCCACTCACAGTTTACTCACAAGCATCTGGTAATTTTCAGTGTCTGACTGACTAACCACACCCTGATGTTTTTTAGAAACTTGGTGACATACATAGGTCATCACCCCATCCAGGCCCTTAACTTACAAAAGTGTGGAGGTATAGGAGAGAAGGAGATAACAGGAAGCTGAAGAAATAGAAACAATTTCTAAGAAAGTGGTCTGAGAACTATTACAACCAAACAAGTGAATTATCAGTCAGTTGCCCACAAGCTATGGTAAACATCCCATTGCAGTGTGATTCCTGCCTAGAGCTTGGCCTGGAACTCAGCAGCAACTAGAAGAGGAGCAATCAGACTGAAACAGTACCTAATTCCAACAAGAGCAAGAATTTTGGAAGGAGACAATGGTTGCATTGCCTCTTTATGAACATTAAGACTTTTATTTATTATAAAATAATAAACTCTTATTTACATGGCTACATTAACTTTCAAAGGCTAGGAGGATGAAATTAACCCAGGGCAATAGGAAAGGTGTGTATGTGTGTGTTACAATAGGCCTATGCTGTATAATTTTGCATAGTTAACTTCTATGCTGTGATGTGTCCAGTTCTTAGAAAACAAAGAACCATCCCAGTATAGAGAGATTACTGAATTATATTTCAAAATATGCATTAATCAATAAGCTTTCAGTTGCTGAAGAAAATTGGAATGTCTATTGTTTATGCAAGACTGTAATAGTCTAGGCTTACTTCATTTGGAAAGCTGAGTTTTCCCATTTTAATTGGAACATTTTTCCATAATTGCTACTATTTAGTGTGATTATTTTGTCAAATCATGGGATAGCTTTATAGCCATATAATAAGCCCAGGAGAACAACTTCTCTGACTGTTGCCATCTGCAGTGATCACAGAGCAGCTTAGAAAATATGGATAGCCTTTAGAATAATAGGATGCATATGGTAGCACACAATTATATGTAGCTGGATTCAATTAGTGTTGTACAATTACACTGTTTTATTGCTTAGCTAAAACAGTGAAAGCGCTACATGGTGAGTAATTTACACTAATCCACATCTCTTTAATTGGCCTTCAGGTCTCAAAGGAAAATAGAATTTGTAAAGACCTTACTTTTTGACTAAGATGAACTTTAAATGATCATTTACATTCTTTGATCTTGACAAGGCAGATAGTGAATATATTACTGTTTCTTATTTCAGCCTTAATTATATATTTTAATCTTTCTTGCTGAGGTTATAGTATTCAATCTGATATCCATCAAACTGCAACTTCCAACATTCTCCAGTAAGTCATTGCCATACTGGCAGGGAATTTTGGGAGTTGTAGTCCCAGCATATCTGGCTAATCCTGGACTGTGGGCATGTCAAAGATTTAGGACATGCAATATTGTCTCCCTCATTATATTTACTATATATTTATAGGAAAAAAAGATTAATGTCTACATTTCTTCATTCAAAGTTTTCTTTTTTAAAATCTTTAGGAAAAATATAAACTATAGAAAAAATGAATTCTTTTAGTTGATCCTACATAAACTGATGAAATTATTATTCAGATTTGCAAAGATTTTCCTCTATAGTTTCCATAATCCTAGCTACACAGAATCTTTAATAAAAAATCTAAAACTATTTATTAAGAAGTAATGGCCAAGAGAAACAGTTTATAAGATTAATTAGATGTTCCCTGAAAATCATTGTTAAATATCTGAAATGTTATTAAAAATGTTGAGAAATAATTACTATTATAGTAGTAGATCTGCTACATCAGTAAACATGTTCTTAATAGTTAACAACCAGAAGTATACATATGTTTTTACTACAGCTGCAGTTGTATTTTCTTTCCTTATAGATTTTGGTGTTGCCATTGCTTTGTGTTGAGAATTTGATAGTGTGTTTTCTAAAGACAAATTCTGGTTGCATGAATTTGTTATAAATTAACTGGAGGGAATAATAAATTTCTATATTTCTATATTGCCACTTCAGAATATATATTTGATGATATAGTGGCCTGTAATAAGAACCTTTACATTATTCTTATTGCAAGTAAATTATGAAATATTATTTCTCTTTGCCTCTGATCTTAGAATAGTTTTGGTTGTTGCTTTTCTAACAGTTTAAAAGAAAAAGTGTCCTAGGAAAATAAAAAGAGACACAAGGGAGAGTTGTTAGAAAAACAGCTTACAAATTCCTGCACATCCTAGAAATTTGCCCTAGAAATGTAGAATAATTGAGGTAGGAAGTGCACAAAGGCATCCTGTTACCAATAGGATTCCATTCTTAAAGGATATATTAATATGAAAAAGACAAGCTGTTTGTCTCTTATTCTCAACAACTAACAATATTCGATGGACAATTTATGACCAAGCAAATAAAGAGCTTAAAAGAGTCTTCTGTTTATCTATCTAAATAAAATACTTGGTCATGAATTATACTAAATTAAAGATTAGTTGTTTGTTTTTTATATTGTTTATATTCATCATTTTTCAAAAAATAACTCAGTGCGGTGGTGAACATATCCAATATATCTTCATCCTCCTTTTTTCATTATGACTGGTATTTTCAAAAGCATAGAGCATATATTCTTTCAAAGGAGTACTTGAAAAATAAATTTAGTTTCTCACAATTGTAGATTGAAATGTGCTGCAGTCCCTAATCTATATTCATCTCATTTTGTATGATGGTTCAATAGCTGATGTTACATTTTTAGAAAAGAAAATTTATAGCCTCCTGTGTCCTTTGTGTAACAGTGGACATGAAGATATATATTAATCATAACTGTAGGTAATTGCCTGGCTGCCCATCTTTTTCCCACAGGTTGTCCTTACTTTCATGAAATGTTTCATGGTAACATTTTATAGCAGTGGACAGAAATGGTTTTTCTTACAAGCAAATGTCAACTGTATTTTTTCTGTGTGATTTACCCAACACCTACCCTTTTATGGGGAAGTTTCAAATATGTTATCAAGACTTCCATGACCTGTGACAGAAAAGAAAGTGGAAGTAAAAAAATAATAATAATCCCGTGCCACTACATACTGTAAATGATTTGGTGTTTTCTTAAATATTAAACTTAATATTTTTAAATCTGTAGATTTAATATTTTTAAATCTGTAGATTTAAAATATAATTTAAAAAATCTGCAGATTTTAAAAAGAGAAAAAAATATGTAGAATTTAAAAGAATATTATTTTTAAAAAGTCATCTAGAAATGAGACAAAATCAACTTTCTGAAAACCAAAAGTTTCATCTATTCCTACTATCACATTTTAAACACACAGGAAATTAAAATGAACATCTTTCCCAAATATTTTTAAGGGTTTGTTTGACTAATTAAATTCTATGTTTACCAAGAATAAAACAGTGTCTAAAGGACTGGAGTCACACTACGCCAAAATTGTATATCATATATCGATGGAACTATGTACATAAAAGTTGTATTGACTTGGGGCTCTATATTTTAGTTATAATATTTGGTCTCATGGTTGATGTTCATTAAACTGAAAACTGGTTAGTTTCAAAACCTTTTCCACTATCTCCATACTACTTTGCCTTCGTCTTTCTTCCTCACTCCAGATTCACACATGAATACGCTGGAGAGTGGCAGGGTCTGCTTCCTTAAAGTATATAAAGTTGGCTATTAAAAGAATATCATATTTCTGGCATAATTTAATTGTTTTAATTTTGTTTTCAGGTCTATGAGCACCAAGATGGAAGCAAGTCACTGAAACTAGGAGATTTTGGTCTGGCCACAATAGTAGATGGACCTCTTTACACGGTCTGTGGAACCCCCACCTATGTGGCTCCAGAAATCATTGCAGAAACTGGGTAAACTAACTGTGCCTGGTACAAGGGATTCAATGGACAATTATTTTTTCCCCATAGGATGAAGCAATGTCCTTTGAAATAGAAACCATACCGAATTTGAATTTTGATATCTTATATTTATTTATAAGTTTGTCCTTATATCATACAAATGTGATGTAAACTACACTTTTATTCAGATGAGATCATTTAATTTAATGAAGATCCTTACCAACATATCATTTTCTGTTGCCTTTATTTCCCTTAGATCATACATTCTTGGTTTCCTAACCATAATCCCTTATCAATTTTAGATATGGCCTGAAGGTGGACATCTGGGCAGCTGGTGTGATTACTTACATCCTGCTGTGTGGTTTTCCTCCATTCCGTGGGTACGAGCTATGATTTTCTATTCATCTCTTAACAATGCATCTCTTAACTATTCTATCAGTTGCCCATATGGTTTTCTTCCCCTGCCTGGGTGTAATATTGGCTGCTAGCCTCCTCCCATTTGTAAAACATAAAATAGCAATAGAGGAACGTATTGTTACTAAGAATTAAATACTGGGGGAAAATCTCTTTTTTCATAGAAACTTGAGTTCTATGTTACTAAAATTGTCTGCAGTGTAAACCATATTTAATGGAAATAAGAAATATGCAGGGTTATAAATGTCAGAACCATTCCAATATAAAATTGACTGCTTTATGAGGCTTTTCTTATTCTCTTCTTTTGTCTTTTCCTTAAATTTCAAATTTGATATTTGTGTTTATGCTGGTCTATGACTCTAATAAATATTTGATTTGCAATTCAGATTGCCCAAGTAACCCCACTTATGGCAGTGCATAACAAACATAGTTTTGCAGCATTTTAAAAAGCTTTTTGTCTTTTTGCTTGTCTTTAATTTATTAGGAGCAATGAGAGAATGACAGTTTTATTTCTTTGTTATGCAGAAGTGGAGAAGACCAGGAAGTTCTTTTTGATCAGATTTTGATGGGACAAGTAGAGTTTCCATCTCCATATTGGGATAATGTATCTGACTCTGCAAAGGTATATTAAAAATGTTTTTCCTTTCCTTTAGAGCATTTCTTTATGTTGTTCTATTGCAACATAATGTAAAGATTTCACACACCATATATATATATATATATATATATATATATATTTGTTTTCTGAGGTTCTCGCGGGTATTTATATGTAGATCTTTG